TACAAATAGTTTTAAAGTGACAGGATTCAATTCACTTAAGGCCTTCGTTTCATTCCATGAATATAAAAACTTGGTAACAAATGTTATACGACTGTTTGCTATAGTAAGACGTGATAACCATTTGAGTAGACTGTAGAAGGTCAACACACCGACGAATACAATCCAAAACCATAAGAAGATGTATACTTTTTCTAGGAATAAATTCAATGGAAGGACACATTGTAGAGTATATCTGAAATTTGAAAATAGAAAGAAAACGTTAGTTAAAGTGCAGATTAGTGCAGCTGACTTCAGATTAGATCATCAAAATGACATCATTTAGAGAACTTTTGAAAACCAGTGATTACAAAACAGTTGTCGTTCGGGACACCTCGCAATTTCTCATATATGATCACACGTAGGGTTGAAGAGTGCTCGCCGACCACAAAGGTAGTCCGCGGTTCGATCCCCTGCTACCAACGCACTCCATTACCTCGGTAAAGGGGGAAGATTGGGCATGAGGCTAGAAACCCTATCGTGTAAAAATAATCACCATTGCTACAGAAACTTCGAGCCTCTAGCTTGAAACCACCTATGTTCCACTGGGAATGTACAGGAATAAAAAAGGGTTGAAAAAAGAACCTGGTTTTCAATTCTAACTGATGTCAGCTGAAAATTCACCTCAAAATAAATCGGATTCCAGGAAAATAATGCTAAAAAATTAACCTAATGTTCACTAGCGACTGGCTGTTGGCCGGGTTTCCTGAAATTCGATGGAACAGCGGTTAGGACTTCCGCTGGCCACGCACATGGTCCGGGTTTGATCCAGTGCCGATGCACACCTGATATTATTGGTCGGTTTGCAAAATTTGGGCTAACAATATCACATACTGAAAGTTCCATGCATTGACCAAAAATACATGTGTAATCAAGCTATAATCAAAATATAAAATACATGTTAATTATGGAAAGTAAGGTCCGGCAATTAGGATATGGAGACAGAAACTCATTGATGACGTTGTTCGGCTGTTGAGCTATGCATATTATGAATAAACAGAAGTTCAACTTAATGAACCATTGGATTCTGTCCTATTGGCAGAATAGTTAAAAACTCTTATTGATGTCTGGCGAGGTCATATGTACGTGCCATTGAAGAGTCCCGAGTTCGGACTAAACAACTGTTCAGTCCTCCCCCTAGTTTTCATTGGTGCTGTAATTGATATCGGTATTTTATTTATTTTTGATTACGGCTTGATTCCACACAGTACTTGAATAACGTCCATTTACAGGAATCTCACGTTTATAAAGTACAATATAAAGAGTCAAACTAAGAAGGTTAGAATACCGTTCAGATATACCTCATCCACTGAAATCACACACGTTTCGATTTTTATCACATTCGCTTGGGCGATATTCATAAACGTTATCACCTTCGCGTGATAAAAGACTAAATAATCAAATTTTGCACAGTCATCCAGGGACAGCCTATGGAAGCGAAAGGAATCTACTTGTGACTAGATGACTAGACAGAATCAATGCAATCTATAAAATACCTGACACATGATGATTATCAAGTCGACTACATAGATTACTCCAGTATATTTGAATCAGTCATGTTATGGGAATAAAGGAATTTAACTAAGTGTTCTAATGTCTTATCCTAATAATGATAACTGACTAAGAAGAAGATTCGAGAATCGTAACGCATTCGCTAACAAACAATCAAGCAATTAGGTGTTGAAATAGCTATAATTTTGAATTCAAAGTTAGAAAAAAAATCAGTAACTTCTGGAATCTCATTCATCAGTTGATTGGTAACAAGGTTAAGCTAACTGTCCTGAACAGATCCAACTACTAAAGTGATCAGAAGTAAAACTGACTGACTGACTGACTGTGAATTTCACCATGATGCTTATCAGTTTTTGAAATGATATTCGTTGAACACTCAACATAGTGAAGTTAAACTAATAGGGTGTCGGTGGCATAGGGTTAGGACGCTCGCCGACCATGCACATGGTCAGGGGTTCGATCCCTGGCCACCGATGCACTTCTTTACCTCTCTAAGCTGAGAATAATAATGCTGGTAAAGAGGAGAGGTTGGGCATGAGGCTAGCAACCGCATCCTGTAAAAATTAACACTGCTACAGAAACTTCAGGCTTCTACCTTCGAGCTCTATATTCCAATGGGAACGTGAAGGAAAATAAAATCCTGAAAAATTGCTAAAAAGCATAGAAGTTGAATTTTGTGTTTCATTGGAATACGAACCGAACATCAGTTATAGAATTATTGTAAGACACTGCTCAGCTATTTTTGTCCTTGGTAAGGACTCTTTAGAAGTATGCACTCATGATCCCACCAGGGATCAAACTTAGGGCCTTGGGGGTATCTGGCAGGTCATTAGCCATTCAGCCATTGAGTCGAATGGATGTTCTGTAGTTCTGATAGACAGATAGTCGTGACCAATAGGGTCCACCGCATAAACATTATCGACTCGGCTGTTTTCAGTTGCAGATATTCCGTAGTCCTTCTAGACAACATCTTCAGTATTTTTTGTTTGTTTAAATACAGTAAAATGTGACCTCCAGTAGGTTTGTTTATTCTGGTGAGTATTTGAATCGTTTGCAACATGCTGATTTTTTATTGAAGGTCAGAAGAAGTATTACACTATATGGCAGCTTATACCAATGCACGAGATGACGATTTCTGAGTGGTGTCCTTGGTTCACAAAATGCCCTCCTGAAGTTTATATGATTGGCATTCAACATTATTATGTCGCGTATTTCTTGGAGAAGGAAAAGAAGAGTTATCATAATAGTGGATCATATAGAACTGTGACACACGCGATCTACTGTCAGTGAGTGTTATATTTGAAGATGCCATACGAAGAGAAAATAACACGCAATAAAGTCGGCTGATAATTTTGCATAATGTATAAACACTGTTATTGTTTCCTTTAATTCCTAGAGGAACATAGGGCTTCAGCCGCACGCCTCCATTGCGTTTGGTTCGCTGCAAACGTTTTCATCACCTGGCTCCATGTCTGCCGACATGCTTCCATCTCCTCTTCACATTATGTCCTCCATGTCACCTTCCCACTGACGACCAACACATCGTTTCCCATTTAAGGTTACACTCGAGCAATGGCCTGTCGTGTAATATCAGTTGAATTCTCCATGAATAATGATGTAATTGCTCATCATTTGTATTCACTTGGAATTTGGAGCTGTTTGTCACGTTATTTATCCTCAATTGGTTGATAATAATAATAATTTTTCCTTCACGTTCTCAGTAGAATATAGGGCTTCAAGCTAGTGGCTTGAAGTTTCTGTAGCAGTGGTGATTATTTTTACAGGATGGGGTTGATAGCCTCATGGCCAACTCTTCCTCTTTACTGGCATTATTTCTGGCTTAGTGAGGTGAAAGATTGCGTCTGTGGCCGAGAATCGAACCCAGGACCATATGCATGGCTGGCGAGCGTCCTAACCAGTTGGTTGATAAACTTAGTCTATTGTAATTTGTCTGTTAATCACTGATTCTTCTGGGTGCCAGCTAGGCCTCTAGAAATTTTGGTGTTTCCTTCATTCAAAATTTCTACACACACACACTCTCTCTCTCTCTCTCAATAAAACTAGTGTCCGTAATTGTGCACATGCAGCAATATGAAAGAATACATATCGCGTCTTTTCAAAGCTAATTAATGTTTTTGGACTATGAGTTGAAGGGGACGCCCACTATGACCAGTGTAGTGTTTTCTCACAGTTCATGCAATTTGTTTTGCAGATGGTGCTGACTTTGTATCCTTTTTCTTGTTGTCCCCTTTGGTCTGCACAGTTGTCAGTGGAGTGATTGTGTTGGCTCGCGTCCTTTATCTATTCCAGATGATCTTAGTATTCATAATAATGGCTTTATCCCTAAACATCCATGTATACATTCTGTATACACAGTACAGAAGTTCAAGAGTTTCACTGCAAAGTATTGTGCAGAATCTTTATGCTAATCGATAAAATATCATCTGCGTTCAGTTTGCCACCAATGTTTTCACCTCCCTTCACGTCCGCTCACATACTTTCATCTCCTCTTCACATCACCTCCTCCATGTCACCTTCACACTGACAACCACCTCGCCACTTCCTGTTCAGGTTCAACTCGAGCGATGACCTGCCGTCTGATGTTACACACGAGATGGTTTGTTTTCTCAGAGTACGGCCAGCCAATCCACCTCCATTTCTTCCTGCATATTTCTAGCACAATTGGTTCCTCAATTGCTTCGCTACCAGAGATCCCTGTTATTAGTCTCTTCTGGCCTTCCATCTGATCTTGAGCGAAGTATTAAACGAAGAAAGTTGTTGATGAAGGTGTGTAGTTTGTTCGAAGTGGCCTTCGTGACACGCCGCCATGTCTCCTGTCCATAAAGTACCACTGCCTTCACATTGGAATTGAAAATCTTGATCTTATATTTCATGCTGAGTACTGAGGGTTGACCCCATACAAACTTGAGAGGGAAGAAAGCTTGCTGGCTTTCCTGATTCTCGCTCCTTTGATATCCTTATCAATTCTCTCCGTCTGCAGTTGAAACGATGCTTCCCAGATGGGTAGGTAGGTAGGTAGGTGAAGGAGATTGTTTCTTTTGAATTTCTCCTATTTGTGCCGGCTGATTGCAGTCTGTTGTTTTCTCTATGTTCACCAGAAGAAAGTCCTATCTTTGATTCTTCTTCCTTTTCCAACTTGTCGCTTTTCACTTGTATGTCTTCCAGTTTGTTGGAAATCAAACCTATATCCTAGGCGAAATCCAAATCCTCCAAGTTTTTTCTATGGGTCCATTTTATGCCTGTCTCCTCGTTGTCATCCACTGTCTGTTGCATTATCCAGTCTACTGCAATCGTGAAGCGGTGTAAACACGATGCATTTTAATGGATAGGAAATTTAGTTAGTACAGTGATTTAAGTAGCCGCGGCGATTTAATGGACGTTGTTTCAAAAAATAATAAATTTTATAAGTTACGAATCGACAGAGGTTGATACTAACGGGTTATCAGATTCTAATGCATGGGTTGATTGATCAGTAGGTTCTCTTTTTTTAGCCTAAAAGGTGGTAGTTTCAATTCAGTGCCGTTAGGATAATGGATCAGAACCACTGAAGAATCGCAAATTAAGACGAAATAGCTTTCCAATAATTTCCTAAATAATGTTAGGTAAGAAATTCATATTAACATAAAAAAGATTCGAAACTACTCACTTATAATTTTTCCCCAACTTTTTCGCTTCAAAATCACAATAAGTAACTCGTGGAAAATGTCCTGTTTCACTCCATACATTACCATTAATCAAATCGCGTAGGACTTGTATACCAAAAAAGTAGGATTTAACGCCTAGAAATACTTTCATTAAGTACAGCTGGGCAAATATATTGACTAAATATAACAATTTAACTGTCACGTATAAATAGAATAGAAAACTCCTGCTTCGTTTAAAGCCTTTTATCTTTTGACTACCGCACAGCCAATGACATGAACATGCTGGCAGGAGACAGATCAAGGTGAGTAAGCATCTTAGGCACAACCATAATCCATAACAGAATTGATAACACGCCTTTTTAATATGGAATGTTCTATACGGAAGTTTTGGCTTGTGGTGTGTAGTTTGTTTTGTGTTACGTTGAGATAGTTGGTATAGTTTGAAGAAGCCTGGTGAACTGCTGCAACATGGCCAGCAGGAAGTTTTACGGCTTCGTGAGGTTGATGTCTGATTGGCAGTTGTCTGGGAGGTTTGTAATTCTGTTGGATTACAAAAAAAAGAAAGACGTGATTTGAAACGTTTGAGTCAGTAAAGATAAGAAGTTACTATGCATATATGTAAATATATGAATACAGTAAACATAATTTTAAAAGACAATACAGTTATCCGTAGAAGAGATAATAAAAGGTGCAAAATAGTTGGTATGTGAGGATTAGTTATGTTTTTATGATTTGATCATGGATCGATGTCAGTTAGAGAACCATTGAAAACCCTCACTGGAGTACTGTATAGTCAGTTGTTTCCTTTTAGTTCGGGAATCATCGGAAGTACTCATCCACTGCCAGAGTTTGAACACTTGGACCTTTTGGTAACAAGATGAGCTTGTATATCATTCAGCCATTGGGACCGATACAATGACTAGCCGATGAATTCTAACTTCTACCAATTCGTGATTTAGCGTGATCACGAAAAACAGTGTCATAGGTGGGACATCCATCCTCACACTTGATTAGATATACCTCACTGGTCACGATTTCTCACTTGGGGGTAGCGCTAAGTCACAAATTAGTAGAAGGCCATTAAATCGGGTCCTAGTGGTTGAATGGAATGGTAGCTTGCCTTGTAACCGGGAGGTCCTGTGTTCGAAGCTCAGTGGGGGGTACTTCCAATGATTCCCAAACTAAAAGGAAACAGCTGACTATCCAGTACTCTGGGGTTCCCAACGGTTCTTTAACTGATATTAATCCGTGATCAACTCGTAAAAACAGCATATTTCATATTTAGTGGAGAAATATTTCAACAGAATATAGGAATAGCCATGGCATCGCTTGTCACACCAACAATAGCGGACACACTCATGGATTTTTTAGAAGCTAAAGTACGCTTAAACCACCCATGTCATCAATAAAATATTGGTGGAGGTACGCAGATGACAAACCATTAATAATAAAAAAAAGAATGATGTGGGGAAGCCTTTCCCACACATAAAACGTCTTATAGACTGAGGCGTCGGTGGCACAGCGGTTAGGACAATCGCCTACCGTGCACATGGTCCGAGGTTCGATCCCCGGCCGACACATTCCTTTACCTCGCCATAATCCTGGTAAAGAGGAAAGGTTGGGCATGAGGCTAGCAACCCCATCCTGTAAAAATAAACACTGCTACGGAAACTTCAAGCCACTAGCTTGAAGCCCTATATTCCACTGAGAACGTGAAGGAAAAATTAATTAAATTATAGACTGAGGCGTAAAAATGACGAATTTTCGATTTCATGCATTTATTCCCCTTGAAGAATTTGAATAAAGCAAGAACAACACAGTGTGGTTTGTGCAGAATAATATGGTGCCATCATTTGTCTATTTCGTTGGCTTCTCATCAGCTGCCACTTACAGCCTAATTAAATTATCAGGCTTATGTACAGAGAAGTTTTTAACATACTTGTAAATTTTACATGTTGCTAGTTGACAGAAAGTTCCGCAATTAGTGAACAGTGCTCAGAAAATTGCACTTATACAGTTTTTACACAGGCAGTTCAAGTTTAAGCAAAATAAATGTATGCATATAATAGTAAGGGAGTTACATAATAAAGATGAGATGTGCGTTAGATGCATAGTGACTAATAGGTTAGGTAACAATGTACTGAGTTGAACTCGAGTCATAGAAACAAGAGACAAGCAAAATAAAAGATTATAAAAGGAGCGCGAGGTTAAAGACAAAGATTGCGTAATCAGATGAGAGAAAAAAAGACATCCAGTTACCAGGGCAAGGAAAGACTAACTGATTAGTGTTTCTCTCTGAACACATAAATCTGGTTTCAAGCGTTTGATAGAAATTTCTTCGGAAAACTACAGGAGAATGGAGCTCCTTTGTCTGTTGATAATTTTGAAGGATTTCTCGATTTCCACCTCATCACCCGTGTCGAGGAGATGTCTCGAAATTTTCGATTAACTATGTGGGTCATACGTGTAGATAATTCAAAATAAGAGTGAATGAGCATAAACGTTTCAGTGAAGCGAGAACAACAGCGGTTTGTGCAGCACAAACCACTGTTGTTCTCGCTTTATTCAAATTCATCAAGCGGAATAAATGCATGAAGTTCCAATGAAGGTCACTTCACATGAACACAGGAGTGAGACGCAAGACACAGTATTCACTGGGATGACATGTGTTTTCCCAAATCAAATAGGAATAAATAGAAAGAAAGAGTAATAACGGAGTCTATACTCATTAGTGTCACCATAATCACATACCACAAATGTGATGCAATACAACTGTCAACATTGATATAAGAATAAAACTTGTACACGGTGGTAGAGTGTAATTCCATTATGGGTAAATTTTGTTTTGATAAAGTCTCACAGTGTTATACAGTAATGTATACTAATGACGTGATCATAGTTGCCTGAATTCTGTCTCCGTGTTATGTGGTATAATATGTTGGGTAATATTGTGGCGAGGCGTAGAATGTTAGGTAAGAATAATATTATTACAGCTTTATTCCAAACAGTATTTGTGGTACAGGTATGGAATTTTCAGCGTGCATTACAATATATTGCATCTAATTACCTCATAAATTTTATGAGATTTTTAAAATCAAAATAAATAAATAAAAAACCAACGCCAAAAAAATAAAAGATAAATTAAAAAAAAACAGCGTAGCGTTTACATTTCAAACAATGCACCACAGGATATGAAATATAAAGTTGGTGTGTGATAGAAGATGTGCAACAACAGTATTATAGTAACGAAGAAAGGAAAACAAAAACTAATGGGACTATTTGTTAGAGTATTGCAGTAAGTTGATCATGTCATACATAATGGATTTCTCATCACATAACAGCTGTGCCAGATATGGTATTGTGGAGTTTTTGCACTTGGTAGTCCTAGCATATAGCCAGCCTCCTATAGCTGCTTCTAGTTCTACCAGATGAAATGCAAGGAGAGAGCTGCGTGTAGAGAGGATGCTCGGGGTCCGACAATATTGTATTCGCTACTTTCTTACATGGGATTATATGTTTATCCACAATAGTGTTAATCAGTTGGTTTAACGATATCCCACTTACCCTACTAACGGCTTTTAGTGCCCTAATCAGCAAAGCAAAGTCTTTCTTGAGTAGTCCAGAAAAGATTAATGGCGAGCAGTAGAAAGGGATGGGTATAATACAAGAATCGACAATCTGAGAAAGCAAAGACTGCTTTATGCCAGATTGCCTAAATTTCCTAATGTAGAACGTTAAGCGAAACATCTTTCTAGAGACTAGCAAGATGTGGGAGGACTAGGAAAGATCAGTGGAAAAACTCAGCTTAAGGCACTTGACATTAGATGTATTTTCAACCTCTGTGCCGTCAATGATGGTGGGGCCATGTGAGCTAACTAGTTTCTGTAGGTCACATTTACGTCTGAAAGGGAAATTTACTACCTGACATTTAGACAGGTTAAGCTTAAGTCCGTTTGAAGAGGACCACTGACTAATTTCCGGTCGAAAGTTATTTAATTTGGAACAATCTGACTAAGAGTTGACAGATATAGAAACAGAGATGTCATCGGCATATTTAATAAAAGTGGCTACATCAGAATGAGGCAAGTTATGTAAGAAAAACGAAAACAGAAGGGGAGAAAGAATGTAAGGGTAAATCGACTGATAAGATTGTGAAGCTACACAAACTGAATTGGCTACAACACGGATTGCGCAATCCAGGCCATCGTCTTTTTAGACTGGGAGTGTAAGCCAAAAAGAGTTAAAGGTAAACATCTGCTTGTGCAGATGCTTCGACCGTGTACAACACTAACTACTACCTTAGAAAATTCAAAACTCTAATTAACTGCCTCTTTTCTATCTTGTAATCAAGGAGGCGAAGATGAAAAGAAGATAAGTTTGTTTGCCGATTACTTATTAGCATTCTTCACTCATTTTAAAGGTGTTTTGTCAATTTTCTTCTATATAGATGGGGCACATTTTGTGCCATTCGTTCTATAATGCACGAAAACACAGAAAACGATAGCTTTTATCGTAACCTGAAAATGATACTTGGTACCGTTGTCATTGAAATAAGAATAACCTCACAAGATGTATGACGGACCACCTCTATTCTGATTTTTAAATCAAATTAAAACAAAGCTTTTAGCAAGGAATTATTTCTCTTGAAAATCAAATTCATCATTTCACGTAGATGTACAATTGTACAAATTTATGGAAAAGTTATGCCACATAATACTTAATTAATTTCTGTGGATATATATATATATATATATACTGACATACTTCTATAAAGTATAATTATATTTCAATAGTTTACACACAATGATAAGTTTTGTTATTGGTAATATTTCAAGCAAAACTACTGCCCGTGTTGTAAGTAAGTAATGCTGACGTTTGGCGTAGAGCGTTGGGCAAAGAGGGAAAATCAATCGATGAGGCTATAAAGTTACATAGATTGAGATGGCTAGGTCACGTGCTGCGCATTCCTAACCATCGCCTCCCCCGACGGGCATTACTAGCTGATATAGGTGCAGGTTGAAAAAGAGCCAGTGGTGGTCAAACAAAAACATGGCATCAATCCATAAAATCTTTGACAGTTAAACTGAGTCGGTCAGTTAGGGAGATGCAGACTCCCGGGTTGGGGCCCTCGGGACTGACTCTAAGAATCAATGGCTGGAGGCAATAGATGACATGGCTCAAAGTCGTTTTCAATGGCCAGCGCAGATGTATTCAGTCTCTGTAATCTTTCATATTCCTTTCTACCATTACCCATTGTGTTTCACTCTTATACTTGTCAGACTGTATTGATTCTCTTCACTCATCTTCTTGTCTACCTTTGTGTGCTATTTGGAACGTGGCAACTCGAACTGGTGCACTTCGGTGCCAAGTTCTATGTTGAATCCAGACAGACAGACAGATAAAACAATTCCAACAGTGGTGTGAACACGGGCAGTAATTTTGCTTGAAATATTACCAATAACAAAACTTATCATTGTGTGTAAACTATTGAAATATAGTTATACTTTATTTAATCTAATCCCCAATGCTCAAACCTTTTA